GTTTTTAAATAAAATCAAACCATCGGTATTATTTTCTGATCCGCAGAACATTAATTTTTCTAGCGTTTGTTTCGAATTTCCAAACAAAATAACCAAAAGTTTAAACGCTTTATTTTTCGAGAGATTTTCTTTTTAAAACCGCCAGACGAAGAAAAGGAAATAGAGACAGATAGAACGACATCTACGTCTGAGAAATGATACCGGTAGAAAAAAGAAAAGCAAAGTCCAACTGTCCATCACCAAGGAGCAGCTCCTCGTCGCCTCCCCAGACAGCGCCGGTGCTCAAGAATAGAAAGTAGAAAGCATTCCTCGCCGAGGAGGACAACACCCTAAACCCACTGAGAGGCGTGGGGTCTTTCTATATTTTGGAGGGTGGGGGGGAGCGTTCAGAGCGAGCAAGACACCCATCAAAAAAAAAGGAGGCCTCTTGCTTTCTTATTTAAGCTCTCCCTGTTTCTTTTTTTCCTCCGAGAGGGAGAGCGAGGGAGTAAAACAAACATCTGGTTTGGGCTAAGTTAACTGCCGCGGTGGCGGCAACGCAGGCAGAGAGACGGGCTCCGTTTAACCGCCGCCGCCGTCAGATGTGCTGCGTCGCGTGGTTTGAGGAGGAGGAGGAGGAGGAGGAGAGCGGGAAGGGGCACCCAAAAAAAGCCATGGAAAAAATGAGTGGAGGAACACAGGGAAGGGCAAAGTCAGCAGGGAGAGAGAACGTGTGACAGAGCGGTTGGTAAAGATGGAGGGCGAGAGGCTTCGAGAGTACGTGGGGGAGGGAGGGGGGACAGAATGAGAGATGGAGGAGAGTGGCAGGACAAAGGAACAAAGGTAATCGCCGGTTCCTCGAGGTGACAGATTCGACCTTATCCAGCAATGAGTTGTAATGACATCATCCAGGTGTGACCTCCACAGCTGGCTCCTCTGACGCCTCCATTAAAACACTTTGTGAGCAGGCGGGGGGGGGCGGGGTGATCCTGTGATGAGCTTTATTCACTCAGGGAGAAAATAGACTGAGGATGCAGCGTCTATAAGGCGCCTTTTAGCTTAGCTTAGCTTAGCTTAGCATGAAGACTAGAGACAGTGGAAACAAATCATCCTTTGATGTCAAACAACTCTTTTCAAATTGGCAAAGCGCCCTATTTTGTTTTTATATTAATAATATATATTATATATATAATATTATTTATTAAACCAGAAGAAGCTGTTTGTTTTTCTCTTTGCACCAGAAGACGTGCGCTGCAGACGGAGCGCGACGCCTCCTCGTCCGATAGGAAACGTTTCCGCCTCCGTCGCAACGTCTGTAAAACGTCCAGAAAAACGAAGTAACGAGGTGCACGTCTGATAGAGTGGGAGGAGGAGGGGGGAGGGGGAGGGGGAGGCAGACCGCGGCTCCACGCGCTATTTTCAAATACCACATAATTGAAACAGTATTTTCTGAGATCGCTGTTCTTCCCCCTCCCTCCCCCCCTCCTCCCTCCTCTCGCCTCCCTGGTCCCACCACAGTTCATTCTGACGCTCTGCGACATCTCCTGTGTGGCATAAACTAGGAGTTAAATACAGCTGAGGAAGGTTGGGGAGGGGGGGTTGAGGTGTCACGCAAGATTTATTTCATTTTTGAGAAATGCCTGAATTGCTCTTTTGATGCCTGGAAAAACCGTTAACGCTGAAGCGCCTCACCCCGACGTGGGGGGGGGGGCCGAGCCCTGCATGTTCATTAAGAAACCGTATGAAACCGTAACGATACGTTTGCTCCTTTATGTGCTCGACCCGTTTAATTATTCATCTGCACACTTTCTCTGCCACGAGCGTGTTTGCGTGTGTTTACGCACGCGGCGAGCGCACTTTAAGATGATTGACGCGCTCTGGCGCCTTTGATCTACCAAAAGACTACAATGTACAGTGTGTGTGTTTGTGTGTGTGTGAGACGGTCTAATGCTGTTAATCTCAGTGTGCACTTTGTGTGTCCACGTGGATTAAAAACACTTCTAGACTGATGTCAAAGTACCGAGTTCTGCGAATGAAAGCGTTTGATATTCAGGCCTCACTGTGCCTCTCGATCTCCCCCCTGCAGAGTGTTGTCAGTAAACACACGGAGGCCCACAGTAGGTTGAAACTGTCCAACGTGACAGAGAGAAACGCCGGGAAGTACTGGTGTCGCGCCTCCAACTTTGTAGGCAGGTCGCAGAACGCTTTCTGGCTCGAGATACAGAAACCAGGTAAACCCGGAGCTCCACTGATCCTTTGTCTCCTCCTCTCTGCGGGGCTCCGCTCGGGTGTGGCTTTGGTTACTCACCGGCTTGCACGCACACACACACACACACACACACACAGACACACACACTCTCACTTTCTGCTACCGGTGGATGTTGTACCATTGTAACTTGAAGCGCCACTTTGTCTTCTTTTTAGATCAATAACAAACACAATATCACGCCTTTAATCACAGAGACAACCCCCCACCCACCCACCACACACACACACACACACACACAGACACACACACACACACAAAAGGCCACATTAGAAGACACAGCAGCCAAAGCGGTATTGATTCCCCCAGAAGAGCGTTCTCCAGTTGTATTAATGTGCTTTTATATGAGCGGGCGGGCACGACCGGGTCAGGATGTCACTGTTCATTACTGAGGCCCGGGATGGAGAGCCCCCCCCCCCGTCCCATCTCCCATTCCTCACCGAGCCACATCGGACCCCCCCCCCCCATCACACCCGTCATTAGTCAGAATACGGCGATGCTCTTTTCTCAGTAGTTTCAAGGTTATTCATAATATTACAAAGTATTAAAACAACTGAAAAACGGCGTCATTTGCAAAATTGCACATTCAAATTTTCTCTTCTACTATTACTGAGCACTAAAAATTCTGGTTCCTTCAAATAATAGATACAATCTGACTGTTGTAAATATAATTCAGGTGAATGGTATTTTCTAGTCACACTACCGTGTTTACGGTGGTTTGCTGTAGAATCAAGTTGACGGGGAACCTTTTCCCCTCGGAGACTCGGTGAGAGTGGAAGTGGATGAGGAGGCCTGGCAGAGCTCCTCGGGGGTCGGATGGAGCCGGCGGGCTTCTCTGCGGCGTGGTGGCGGTGCTGCTTTGGGTGCTTTCGGGTGTCCTCTTAAATCCTCACTCCTTCCCCACAGGGGGCATCTGGTGTTTCCTCTGAGGAGCTTTTCGGGGCTCACGATATCTCTCCCCTCTCTCCTTCTTTTCTCCTCCCCCCCCCTCCCCCTCATCCTCCACAGACGGCCGGCATTAACACCACAGATAAGGAGCTAGAGGTTCTCCTCTTGACCAATGTGTCTTTTGAGGATGCGGGCGAGTACACTTGTCTGGCTGGGAACTCTATCGGCATTGCTCACCACTCTGCCTGGCTGGAGGTGCTTCCAGGTATATTTCCCTTCTTCTCCGCGGGTCCGTTGGCCCCCGCCGGCCGTTTCCGTCTCCCAAAGCTCTCGGCTGCCGCCGGACGTTTCTCTTTGCTCAGCAGCACGTCTTGAATGTCCGCCGTTAAACCCGATGACCCCAGATTGTTAATGTTGGCTCGCTTTAAGTGCACTGGTCATCTTCCCTTTTTAACGGGACGAACGTCCAATCGAGCCTTTTTTAATCACCGCAGATCCTCAGTTTAAACGTCTCGAGGCGACGGGGGCCAATCTGAAGACATCTTTGTGTAATGACGTCCCCGAGGGGCGTATTACAGGTGCAGCATGAAACCTCGTGCGCATTTCTTTCTGCTGCTTTGACTCATAGACGTTACTGCACAGAAAACGTCCCCCTACAATCCGCTCAGGGGAAACGTGCTGCTGAGCAAAGCTTCTTTTCCAGGAAAATCCCTGAAGGAAAAGTAATGTGTTCATCCTCACGTTTGTTGTGCTCGGCGTGTCGCCTCCTCGCCCCCCAAGCAGTGAGCCCGGAGAAGGAGGACTACTACGCCGACATCCTCATCTACGTGACGGGCTGCGTGCTCTTCATCCTCGCCGTGGTCATCGTCATGCTTTGCCGCATGAGGATGACGACGCAGAAGACGCTGCCCACGCCGCCCGTGCAGAAGCTGTCAAAGTTCCCCCTCAAGAGACAGGTAACAGAAAGTAGATACAAGATTCCCATGGGCGCCTTCTTCTTCTTCTTCTTCTTCTCTCGCTCTCTTTTTAGTTTTACCATTAAGTTCCATGTTGATGTGATAATTTGGCCTGAAGTCACGTTCATGGAATCAGAAGCTTCAGTTTTCTTTTTGCCTTGGAACAAAAATCGCTCCTCAGGGCGGTCCGGGTCCAAACAGAACGGGTCCCAAAGCGGTCCTTCACACCTAAATAGCAGTTACGCCCAAAACAAAGATTCCGATTTGATGTCCTAAATAAATAAGTGCGTCTGCTTAACCAGTAGCTCAAGTGGTAGGAACGAGGATTGTTACGCAGGGTTGTGCACGTCTGGTTTCTCTGTGAGAACTCTTCACCACTGAAGGGTTGAGCTCAAATGAAGCCTTTTTCATAAAAGACAACCATCAATTTAAAGTCTGTTCCTGGAAAAGTAACCAGAAAACATGTGGAACGGTTGTGGAAAAGCCGCCTTGTCAGGTTGTATTAAAGATGCTTTAATCTCCTGCACCTACATCTCTATTCTGCTTCAGACTGCTTCATGCTCTTATGAGGTAATAACAAACATCATATTGCATTTTCCTGTAATCTTTGCCTCGTTTTTGTGAAGCTAATCTCCAGGTTCTCTTCTTTCTTTTTCATAACTCTGAGCAAATCCCTTACACCCCCCCGGCGTGTTCAATCACATATTACTTTTCAGGCCTTTTTAAAAGCTTCACAGCCTTTTTTTCGTTCTTTTTTCTGCGGTGGAAAGGTCGAGGCGGGTAAGTGGTCATGTTTGTCGGAGGGCCCGAGACAGGCGGGCAACAAACAGATCCATCAAGAGCGGCGCCGGAGCCGTCAGCCGGGCCAGACGAATGGTGGCGGGAAGCGGAGAGCCGGCGGGGCTCTTCGGGGACGGAGCTCGCTGATGGATGGAGGCCTCCGTCCACCCGCCTCGCCACGCGCCCGCACACCTCCGCTCCCGCCTCCATACGTCTCTGTTACCGCCTGCTTCCTCCTGTGCACAGCCCTACCCCCCCCCCTCCTCCCCCCACGGCCCTCGGAGGTCGGTGCTGAGATGTTTGCAGTGCGTCGTGCCAGCGAGCGTTCGCTCATTCGCGCGATCCTCAAAGCGAGCGAGGTCACACCGAGGTTGAGATGGAAAGATTTAAGTCCAACACGATATTTGAGACATCTTCTGCACTTTATCGATTTCTGGGTTTCTGGCCTTGACAATTAAAATCAATTACGACGATGAGGTCAAAAGTGTAATGTGGCCATTAAATGAGATGCATCGGGTTTCTCTGTGAGTGAGAGTTAAGTGTTTTAACATGAAGAAAGATACAAACATGTTTCCTCCTTTTTCCCCCCGTCAGCTCGTAAAGTCTCACGTCGTCCTCCTTCAGAGTCTATAACAGTTTATTTCTGAACCCAAGCAGGTGTCCTTGGATTCCAACTCCTCCATGAACTCCAACACGCCGCTGGTCCGGATCGCCCGCCTGTCCTCCAGCGACGGGCCGATGCTGGCCAACGTCTCCGAGCTGGAGCTGCCCTCCGACCCCAAGTGGGAGTTTCCCCGGACACGGTGAGAAACGCTGTCACGGAACAAAAAAAACAAACATTCGCCATCGGCGCCCAAAACGCCCGTCAGAGGGAAAGCGCGCTGTGAAAACACGTCAGCCGTCGATGCGTCGAGGTCGCCGTGACACCTTTTTCGGCGTTCATGCCACTTGGCGATCAGACTGGCTCTGCGCTGTCGAGGCGTCCTCTGTGAACGCGTCCTCTGAGGCTGTTTCTTGTGCTTGCAGGCTGACTCTGGGTAAGCCTCTGGGCGAGGGCTGCTTCGGCCAGGTGGTGATGGCCGAGGCCATCGGCATCGACAAGGAGAAGCCCAACAAGCCTCTCGACGTGGCCGCGAAAATGCTCAAAGGTGAGGGCTCCGCCAACGGATGCACGACATACAAATATATACATGGATATATGTGCATATATATATATATATGCAACCCCCAACCCTGTCTTTTCTTTGTCCCAAGATGACGCCACGGACAAAGACTTGTCGGACTTGGTGTCGGAGATGGAGATGATGAAGATGATCGGGAAACACAAGAACATCATCAACCTGCTGGGGGCGTGCACGCAGGACGGTGAGGCGCCGGCTCCCGTCCCGCTCCGCGGCCCGGGGAACCCGCGTGCCGTGAGTGACGCTTTCGCTGTGTGTCGCAGGTCCCCTGTACGTGCTGGTGGAGTACGCCTCCAAAGGCAACCTGAGGGAGTACCTGCGGGCGCGGCGCCCACCGGGCATGGACTACTCCTTCGACACCTGTAAGATCCCCGACGAGCAGCTCACCTTCAAAGACCTGGTGTCCTGCGCCTACCAGGTGGCCCGAGGCATGGAGTACCTCGCCTCGCAGAAGGTCAGCTGACGTTGTGTCTGTGTGTGTGTGTGTGTGTGTGTGTGTGTGTGTGTTGACGTGTGCCTGAGGCCTCTGTTCTTCTTCCCTCAGTGTATCCACAGAGACCTGGCGGGCCAGAAACGTCCTCGTGACGGAGGACAACATCATGAAGATCGCCGACTTCGGTCTCGCCAGAGATGTGCACAATATAGACTACTACAAAAAGACCACCAACGTGAGTCTCACCCCCCCCCCCCAGACCCACCTCGTCAGAACTTCTAAAAAGAGAAGCTGCTGTGAGAGCGATGGATTCGTCCAAAAATCCAATTATGTTGTTTTTATTTCATAGCAGAAACAAACGTTTGTCATTATGGATTTGATGTCCGAACAGGGCGAAGGTGCAGGATGATAACAATAAGCAAGGGATGAGATGACATTTGATCCACCGTCACACACTCACCTGTGGGGGGGGGGATGTGGGCGGGGCCTGTGGGGTGGGGGGGGGCGGGGCTAGCCGAGGGTGAGGGTGTGATTCCAGCTCACAGTGCTTCTGCTGACCCGGGCGTTTCCTCTGTTGTTGCAGGGTCGCCTGCCCGTGAAGTGGATGGCTCCGGAGGCTCTGTTCGACCGGGTCTACACACACCAGAGCGACGTGTGAGTTTGCCGCGAGCGCGCCCGTCGGGGCGCGGCCCGGGGAATCCGCGGGCGCCGCGACCCAACGCGTTAGCGTCAAATGCCCCGAGTTTGGGCGTGAGAATGCGGAATGGCGGCGTTCCCGACCCCTCCCCCCCCGTCCAAATACCTCCCGCCCCGCGAGGCTGAGCTCCCCTGCGTGCCGCCGGCTCCGCATTCCTCGCCGCGTTTTGTTCTTTAATCTCCCAAAAGGGAGACAGAAAACACAAGTGAGCAAAAGACGAGACTGGATCCATCGCGGTTTATGAGCCTCGCCTCGATTGGCTGCAGAGTAGAGGCTCATAAGAGGGTCTTTACGGGGGGGGGGGGGGGTTCAACCTGTGATGAGAAGAAAGCTGATTTTAGGAGCGAAGGTCAGTCTGCGTTGCGATAGTTTAACCCGCCTCTAAACTGCTCCTTTCACACCCCAATCCCCCCCCAAGCCAGACGCCGTGTCCCCAGCGCAGCCATCCAAGCCAAACACGGCGGCCCTTGTCAACACGGGCCGCCGTGTAATTACAGCAGACTGGGAACAAGCCGAGAGGAGAATCGGGTCCACTCTGTTATTTCAGCAGGTCTGGATTACAGAGTCGATCCTCCCGCCAAACCTCCTCCTCCCTTTATACAGTAGTCTGTTTGCTCTCACTCACCTCGGGGGGGGGGACTCTGACCCCTGACCTCTGGTGGTTTTACTGAAAGGACTGAATGCAGGGGAACGCTGTGGAGGCTGTGAGAACGCTCAGCGAGACGTCTCTGTTTACGGCTTCACATATTTGTGCCGTCACATAATTACGTTTCCAACCGGCGGCTTCTACAAATACATTTAGACTGGAACACGTAAACAATAGTGAAGATCAATATTTGCCAGCTGTGGACGTGCCGGTGTGTATTTATTGTGTGTGTGTGTGTGTGCAGGTGGTCCTACGGGGTGCTGCTGTGGGAGATCTTCACCCTGGGGGGCTCGCCGTACCCTGGGATCCCCGTAGAGGAACTCTTCAAGCTGCTGAAGGAGGGACATCGGATGGACAAACCTGCCAACTGCACCCATGAACTGTAGGCGTCCCTCATTGTCCCTTATTGTCCCCGGTAGTGACGTCGCATCGGTTGTGTATGTCTTATTTATGTGTATTTGATGAGCAAAGGTTTTCATTGGAGTCACCAACTTAAAGGTGAAAACTCCAAGATTTAAAATGCTTCACACAGTAGATGTTGCGAAGCTGACCCTCGGCGTGGCCGTTTCAGGTACATGATCATGAGGGAGTGCTGGCACGCCGTGCCGTCCCAGAGGCCGACCTTCAGGCAGCTGGTGGAAGATCACGACCGGGTCTTATCCATGACCTCCACCGACGTAAGTCTCGTCTTCTCACCCCACAAAGCCCAACGGAACGGCTTCGGGCCTCCGCAGTGTCAGTATGAGAAGCGTTACCACACGTGGAGTCTGACCTTTGACCCCTCCCCTGACAGGAGTACCTGGACCTGGCGGTGCCCTTCGAGCAGTACTCGCCCACCTGCCAGGACTCCAACAGCACCTGCTCCTCGGGGGACGACTCTGTGTTCGCCCACGACCCGCTGCCCGAGGAGCCCTGCCTCCCCAAGCCGGCCCCCAGCAACGGGGTGATCAGGACGAACTGAAGCTCGCCATGCGATGCTCCCACAGCGCTTCAGCTCCTCTGCTGAGATCCTCCTCCTCCTCCACCTCCTCCTCCCCAAGAAACTCTTGAAACATTGAAGGATTTTTTTTTGGTTGTTTTTGCCGTTGAACCATGTTCGCGTTCCTCTTTTCAAAAATGAAATTCTATTTTTGTACTCGGGCCAGTTTCCCTCTTTTTTTGTTTTGTTACGGACAATCTGTGTGGGTGAAACCATCCCGTGCCTCCGGGGACGAACGGAGGAGACGAGAGGCGCGGATGGGGGGGGGCGTCGGTCAGAGATGGAGTGGGCGGGGCCTCCGGCGATGATGAGGCACCGCGATGGACCCCCCCCCCCGCGGGGAGGAGAACGCCATCGGCACGTTTTAGCATCCCGGGAAACAAAACCCTTTTTGATAATCATGGAACAAATGGCGGAGTTTCAGGGCCGTAATTAGTACAGTGTTTTTTATCTATCCAGAAAAGATTTATTGTAAATATATAAATGCAAATATGTATCATATTGCTGTTTACAGCCATGTACTTAAAAGACAAAAAATGACATTTTCTAAGATATTGTTTTAGGACGGAAGCATCGCAGTCTAGAAGACACTGTCATGAAAGTGTAAAACATTTAATCAGATTTATTTGAATTATTAACATGTATATTTGTAAAGATATTTATAGACTTAACACGTTGTTCTTAGTTCCAAAGCTCTAGTTTAGGATTCTTGTACTGTACGCAAAGACTTTTATTTTCAGTTGTTTTTTTTGTAACTTATTTTACAGCAGAACTGCCACGTTACTTTTCACGGACTCCTCTGGTTTTCGATCCACCCGTTTTGTTTGTTTTTACAAGTTTGAGAAAAAAGAAGTAGAATGTACGGCGGAGACGTTCGGGGCCTCTGAAGACGACCCGTCGAAGGGAAGCCCGGCGCTTTCCGCCGAGGTCGAATCCTGTTTTTTGGAAAAGTTGACGTTTGCAATAAAAAAAAAAAAAGCAACGACTGACTCTTGCTGGGCAAGAAGTAGATGTGCAGAGAGAAGACGTGAGGACGCGCTGAGCGTCAACAACAACCGGCTGTGAAGCACAAAGGGCCTTCAGAGAACCTCAGCGGGACCCAGAACTTCAACCAACGGTTTAGTCCTTCATGGGAGGACGTTTTCCTCTGAAGGCTTTCGAACTTCGCATGCCGGTACGCAGAGGTCACGGGGTCGATGCTCACGAGCTGCTCGCCGTGTCAAACGCACTCGTCTCAGAGACGTAAGCTGTTAAATCCTTCTGCTGAGAAACCCGCCCGGAGGCTTGAGATGTTATTGCTGCTCCGTAGTGTTAATACTGAAATGAAGGCATGCTGCGACTTACTAGTCACACAGCAAAAAGTAAAGATATGTATCGTGTGTGTATATATATATATATACATATATATATATATATATATATACACACACATCAGTTTGTTTAAAGTAGACTGTCTGGATCCTTTAGCTTAGTTTGCAAAATGCCAAATTAGTCTTAAAGTCTTTTTCAGAGTTCTCTGAACCCCAAAAAATGCAAATGTTTGTTCCACGTGCAGCAAAGGATCATGGGATTTGCCAAAAGGATAACTCCCCCCACAAAAAACAAAAGACTTGAAATTTATACAGCGTTTGTTTTTAGCAAAGTCACAGAAGGGGACGGGCTCGTTCTGGTGTGTGAGCTGCTTTTCAATCACCAGTTTTTAACACCCCCCCACACACACACACACACACACACACACACACACACACACACACACACACACACACACACACCAATATTTAAAGTACTTAAAGGAGTCAACGTGGCATTGAGTTCTTTTGATACACTGGGAGATTTGTAGCACTACATTATTTATCTTTCCATCATCGAATGAACACCGAGCTGCCGTCATTTCCCTTTGCAGGCCCCCAATCTACCAAGTGCCTGCAATGATCAATGAGGGGATCAATTGATTCGTTTCCATCACGTTTTTTGAATGTATAATTGCAACAAAGACTTTTTTTTTTTTTTAAAGAAAGGAAGCAGTTGTCGCTCGCAGCGTCTACATCAACGATAGCCGAGGCGCTTTTTTCCCCCTGGAGTGAAGCAGTCGGACAAAAAGGCACTTGTGTGAAGGTTGAACGGCTCTAATGAAAAGGCGTTTGATTTTATTTATTCTTCCATGCTGGGTAAGAGCTTTCCCTATGGTGAGAGCCTTTCTATTCACCGCACTCCGCTTTTCAGTGTTGTTTTCCATTAAAGAGGCCGGACATGACGCTGATGAGGACGATGTAAAGTGGTCATTCCCCCCCCCCCATCACAAAGCAGATGTGTTTTTTGTGTTTGTTTATGACAAGGCAACGCACATTTTATATGAAAACAGTTGAGGACACGCAGAATGATGTCGTACATTCACAGGTACTTCTTAATGTGCCAAGTTGCTCACATTTAAAGAAAAAGCAATACAGAAGCTTCTGGTGGCGTCCACCTGTCACATGACGGGTTGCTAGGAGACGGAGCGCGGGTCTCATTAACGAATCGAGACCTTTAACTTTGAGTTAAAGTCTGGAAGCAAAGCGTCTCCGGCTCGTCGGACGTGAAAAACAACAGATGCTTTGCAGAGTGAAGCTTTTCTTTTCTGTTCCATCACGCTGTTGTGACCCGACGACGTCGGTCCAGATTAATTTATAGTTTGAGATACGTTTTTACGAGTAGAGCTTCAGGCTGTGTGGGATATTTTACAAGAATCTCAGACGACATTATTTTCATACACAATATTTTTTATTTGCATTCCGCAGCAGGTTTTTCTTCAGTACGACAACATCGTGTTTGTGCTTTTGATTTTGATTCTTCTTTTTTTCCAATCCCGCATAATTTATTTTTCCTCTCTGCATTGTGGTTTCTAACATAGAAGGATGGAACTAACTTTGGCATTTTGTGATTTTTTTTCCTGTTTTTTCGGTTTGTAACTCATAGCCTGTTTGTTGCATTGTTTTGATCACGATGACTCCTCTGTAACATTCCACCACAACAACCCCTCTGGGCCAATGTCTCCCCCCCCTTTCTCTGTGCCTGACGAACCACGCTGTCAAGAAAGGTTTTCAATAAACATGTTATAATAGCGCTCGCTGTCATTGCCGTGTTTGTCACTGGGAACGTGCACGGAGAAGAAAAACAAAAAGCAAGTCCAGCAAATCCCAAGTTGGTGAGTTTGCGTAAACTGAGCGAAGGCCAAACACCACAGAGTCTGTTTGCACAGCGTCGCGCTTTTGTTTGGTCTGAACCCTTTTTGTGAGCCGGGGTTTTTTTTTCTTCTCCACAAACCAAAAGACACAGAAGAGACGCAGAAGAGACGCAGCAGCGTAAAAACAAAGCAACGGATGAATCGGGACGCGACCTGAAGTCCTGGTCCAGACTTTATGGAAGCCGGATCCACGCGATTAAAGGTGCAGAAGAACATTGGAAATAGCAACTTTTTAGGTCTTGATGATGAATTCTAATAAACTGACTTAGTCGCAGTTTATTAATTCAATAGCTTCCAGGTAAAGAGGGTCGAACGAAAGGCAACTGACTTTAAAACATTTTTTTTGTATTTTGATTTATTGAATTTATCCAAATTCCAACTATTGCGTTAATACATAATAGAAACCAGAGAGATTCCTGTGTACGTGCATGAAGGACTCGGGGGGGGAGAAGTTAACTGAGCCGTGAGTCTCAATCCAAGCAGGAGACTCGACTACACGACTCGTCTGAGCCGCCAGTTCCTGCTGCTTCTGTCACGCAGGGAACAAATTAGCCTCTCGTAGCATCTTAACTGCTCTTTAATGAAGGAAAGACCCCCCTGCCCCCCCCCCCCCGTATTTGCTTGCTGAGGACAGTTCCCTCCCTCGCCGCCTCGCTGGCTGCAGCTCAGTAACCGGCTGGCGGTGGGGGGACTGGGGGACGGGGGACGCGTGGGGGGGGCTAAGCTGGACAGTTACGGAGGGGGAGAGAGGGGTCTGTGTATTCGGGCTGTTGGCCCTCGGCCCGTCCCAAGTGCGTCCTGAGGGGAACATCCTGCCCCTCGTCGGGACTTCCTCGGCCGGCTGAAGTGGCCCATTCACGGGGGGCTTGTGAGGGGTGGGGGGTGGGCGAGGCGCTTGTTTTCGCTGCTAAATGGATGTTTCTGTTTCAGAGGTGTTTGCGCTGGTGGAGGCTTTTCTTTCCTCCCTCCCTCTCCGTCCCAATCCGTCTTCTTCTCCCCCCCCCTCCCATTCCTGCACCCCCCCCTCTTCAGGCCGCTGTGTGACCTTTGAACCCTCCCTCCAAGAGGAGGCGTTGCTCCACTCGGCCAATGAAGTGAGCGGAGCCACAATATTCCATAATGCAAAACAAGCCGTATTTATTCCAATGTGCAATAATAGACGGATAAAATAGGCAATAATAACACTTTTAAATAACCAGCGTTGAGTGATACACACAAATTATACATGTATACTTCAGTGAGCACGTGTTAGTGTTAGACGTGGTTGCGTCCTTGTTCCTGTTGTGTCCCTGGTTGTTATCTGACCAAAGGACAACAGAGCCGTACTCATGCTACCAGATGAGCTCGTGGGTTCTTGTGCTAACTCGGCTAGCGCGACGTTAGCTTGGCCGTTTGGATCAGAGCTAGGGTTGCCAACTTCCTCAACCCCAAAAGAGGGACACTTTTTTCCAGGTGTGCACATGCGGGCGCGCGCCATGGCTAATGGACAGTTCTCGGCGGCACACTGTGCAAAACGCTTTCCTCTCGTCATTGGCGACCGCTTTAACGCATGACATTTTGGCTTCCCATTCTTTTTTATAGCTGCAAAGTCTTTTTTTCTTTGAAGGTTCACTGCTCATTTGGATACACGATAACGATATATGATAAATATAATTTACTGCCTGTCCGTTGGGAAGAAGCTGAAGAGCAGAAGGAAACGTTTTCTGAGGGACTCTGGTGACTCCGGGCAGGACGAGCTGAGGGGACTTTTCTTTTTCTGATGTCTGGCTTCATGTGTCGCCAAGAAGCACTTTAGTGGTTTCTCATTCAGTCAAAGCCACAAAGCTTCCAGCGCTCCAGAATACACAAACTCTCTTTTCTGTTTTTAAGTTTCAGTTCAAGTTTCAGCCTTTGAAGCTCTGTGTTTTGCACAATTTTGAGGTTATTTTGGTGAGTCAACATTCAAAGATGGCCGCTGAGCCTTCTCATCGTGGGACTTTGTGGCATTGTGCTAACGTGGGAGTTGCAGTGTGTGCGTGTGTCAGTGAATGTGTGTGTTTGCATGTGTGTACATCTTCGTGCGTCAGAGGTTTGAAGCGGTAGTGGGCATCTCTTCGCATGTGTGTGTGTGTGTGTGTGTGTGCGTGTACTTCCTGAAACTGGACCTTGGTATGTTGTCACTGTAAGTGCGCCAAATCAGCGATTAACCGCGCTCCCTGTGAGACAGGCGTGTAGCCGAGTGACGTCCAGCAGCAGGTGCGTGTAAAACAATCCGCTTCTCAGCGCTCCTCGGAGGGCTCCGGTCCCCCCCCGAGCGGCAGGAAATAGACCCGATGATAGTTCACGCACCGACGTCGCTGGTCGAGCGTGCCCCTCCGACGGCGGGCCGGCGTCTCGGGTGTCGGTCGGAAAAAAGCAACGGAACCGTTCAAACAGGCTGCGTCTTTTGAATCATTCTGATCGCGCTGACGGACTTCAAAAACAAAACACGACAGAAGAAACGATCCTCAAACCGGAGGAGATCCATTTGTGGAGTTAAGACGTGACAAGCCGTGTGGTTTTGATTGGCAGGTGTCAGCTCAGCTCGGCAGAGAGAATAAAACTGCACAAGAAGAGTGAACTTTCCGTAGAAAATCGCGGTGCACTTCATGACGAGTCCCTGGATACACGGGACCTCCTTCCTCTCAGAACTCAGTAACTTAGTTATTCAGTTATGCAGTATCTTAGTTACTATCGCTCGCTTCGATAGTCACATCTAGAAGGTCTCCCCCCCCCTCGTCTGCTCCGTCTCTC